AAGGCTGACTAGGTAGTTCAATGGTATAAAAGTCCCAGGCTCCTTTCATACTTTTACTTCTTCTTTCTAAGGTGTTGCCTCTGTTACCTCCAGCCAGCAGGAAAGGGGAAATGTCCAGGAAGAAATCTTGGCCCTTTCCTTTAGAAGCATAATGTGGAAGTTGCATGTACCAGTCCTGCTTTAATATCATTGGTGAGAACTTGGACACATGGCTCCATTCACCTATAAAGGAACCTAGAAACACAGTCTTTATTCTGGATAACCACATGGCTGGATAGAATTCTATGATTATGTAAGAAGGGGAAAGTAGATATCAAGAGGCATCTTGGTGCCTTTGAAATATAACCTTTTCTCAAATGAAGTATCAAACCAGTAGTAATAAGGGCTATCCTTCCAAGCACTCAAAACATCTGAATGTCTTTTCTCCCAGTAGGCAAGGTGTTCCCCAACTATGCACACCTGTTCAGGAAGTCTCATGGAATCCTTAAGTATCTCCAGCAGTCCCAGGTTGTACGAGCATGTGCTTTAAGGTGACTTGAATAACCCCTGATCACATAACATATTTCATAAGATTGTTGGTTGGGTTAGAACATATCAGCTTGTCAAGCACATGGCTCAGTGCCTGGCACAAAGACAATACTTAACAAATAAAGACTATCCTGCCAGTATCACAGCATTTCTTAGTCTCAGAAAGGGGAACATACAAGTAGGCATAAAATGCCAGGTTCCATTTCATGCACACATTCTGTGGAGCCCAAATCATTTTCTATTTCACTAGGTTTGTCTCTGTTTTGCACCTGTATCTCTAGCCTTTAATCTGTTTGTATTTCTCCCCTCTGTGTTGTTGCTTTTTTATTGAGAAAGACAAAGATATATATAGATATATAGATATATAGAGATGGAGAAAGGGGGAGAGAGAAAGATTGCTCTTATCTTCTCAGCCATGTCGCTGCCTGTCTGTATCTTAATTTTACTGAAACATTTTTCTGTGTTTTTCTTTCTAATCCTATTGCCTTGGCTTTTTATTTGAATTTTCTTTTGTCTTTGTCTACATTAATATTTCTTCTACTCATTGAAAATGTCCCCCCATCTCTAGCTCTATTTTTATCTAAGTGTAGTTCTGTTTCTCTGCATCTCTCTTTTCCCTTTGTTTCTCTCAGTCTTGTTCTCTATCTCCATCACAGATACCTGGTATGAACTACCTCATCTTTTCTCTGTTTCTGTTTTTGGCTGTCTGATTATTCCTCTATTCCTCTTTAGTTTGCTTCCACTTTTTAGTTCAAGTGCCTCCACTCCTGACTTCCTATCTTAGAGGTGAGATGGTGAAAGGAGGTATGTTAAGGATATTTTCTCTCTTCCTTCTTGTCTGAATGGGAAAACCAGAGTCACACCTACTACCACACACATACTGCACCATAGGCCAGACTACTTTAAGAGCATGTGTGTGTTCAGTGTGAAGTAGGGAGGATCAGAATCAGTGTGTGTGTATGTATGTATGTGTATATGTGGCTTTTGTGAAGTAGGGAGGATCAGAATAAGAGGGAGAGGCAAACGTAGAAGGTGAAAGGAGGTAGCATATTGCTGAGTCTCTACTCTATGAAAAACATGCAGACCACAATCTAAGGCACAGAAGATGGTGCATGAACTATTTAGTCTTCCCAGAATTCCCACCACTCTTCCTGGACACATGGCACTGATTATCAAAATCTGCAGGTAACCTAAGGAGTTCAATTTTCAAGTCTAATAATCCAGACATGTGGGAAGATCATTGGGTTTTGTTTATTAATATACACAGGTAGGATATAATACCCAGGATTTTCTATCAGGAGAGTAAATAAAATTTGAAGCTATTTGGTATAAAAAGTGTTGAGAATCACTTACTTAGATTATTAAGGAGAACATTCACTAAGCACTGTTCCTAGAAGTGATGTTTTCATCTAGAGCCCAAGGCTCAGTGGTGTTCTCTACATCTTAGACATACACATGCATACATACACACATGTACACAAGCTAAGTTTTGATAAGCCAACACAAGTAATCTTTGATTAGTGTTACTTAATATTATCCTGAGTAGAATGCAAATTGTTGTACAAACCTTTTCACTTTATTATTTCTCTTGCTATTCTAAAATTTCACCTTTATTAAAGAACTAAGTAGGTTCATCTCTAACTAGAGGATAAACAAAGGCGTCTTCTCTGCAGTTGATCAAGACTTTCTAAAACAGCATGGTTACTCTGCTTCAAAGGTGAGAAAAGGAGGTCCATAGATTAGATGACTTGTCCAAAGAAGAAAAGTGGAGTTGAAATTTGAACCTAAATTGTTTGAATCCTAAATTCAATAACCAAACAAGATATTCAGCTGCCTCCCATGCCTCACAAAAAATGTAGAACCAGGACCTGAACTGAAGGAGAACTAGGAAATTTAAAATCTGAAGAAAGGGCAATGGCTCGTTTAGATTTTCCCTGGGTGAATTTAATACTTACATGGAGATTATAGATTACATAACCACTGCCAGATAAAGCATTCTCTTTCTTAATGACATCCACACTTGGAAAACTGGAATCCCAGGGTATTCAGATTTCAGTGTCAGCTGGTCTTCCAGAACTATTTAGGCAGGATCTAGACCTCAGGACACAATCCCTCTACTTGTAACCATGGAGCTGGGAGGGGCCTTCACCATCTTTCTGGCACTCTACTTGTCTTGTCTGCTCATCCTCATTGCCTGGAAAAGAACAAACAAGGGGGGAAAGCTGCCCCCAGGTCCTACACCAATCCCTTTCCTAGGAAACCTGCTTCAAGTGCGAACTGAAGGGACTTTTCAGTCTTTAATGAAGGTGAGTCTGTCTACCTCTTCTCTTAGGCCCAGAAGCAACTAATCCTATAGCTAGATGCACATAGAACATTCTAAAGCACAGACATGGAAACAGTTTGTAATCTTAGAATTTCAAAACCCCAGTTCTTAAAATCTTGGAAACATAAACTCTTAGACCATTGGAATAAAACTGTCACCATCCCAGGAGTTTGGGCTTATATCTTTTGTTTGTTTGTTTGTTTTGTTTTATTTTGTTTTGTTTTTGGTACTGGGGATTGAACTTGGGTCCTTGAGCTTGTGCAGCAGGCTGGGCTTATATCTTTAAGCACAAGGACTTGTACATAAATTGTCTTAGAACTTTGAGACACTATCGTGAAATCTTAAGATTCTAGAAATTAAGCAGTTTAGTTAGAGAGAGGAGTGTGGATCTTGGATTTCATCTTATCCAGGTCCATCATTTTATAGGTGAGGAAACTAAGACTTTAAAGTATAGGGGTAGTTCTTGTTCAGGATCACAGAAGTCAAGAGTTTCATGTCTTTTCCCCAATAGTTCTTCCAATCAGAGCATTTACCTTTATATATTTTTATCACATTTGTACCCCTGAAACCTCCCCATTCTCAAGTCCTTGACTGATTTATATGTCATGCTCCAATGTACTCCCTCCTCTGGTGTTTTCCTTCACCCCCAGCTCCATGAGAAATATGGCTCAGTGTTCACAGTGTACATGGGTCCCCGGCCAGTAGTTGTTTTATGTGGACATGAGGCAGTGAAGGAAGCGCTGGTAGACCAAGCAGATGATTTCAGTGGACGTGGAGAAATAGCTTCAATAGAGCGAAACTTCCAAGGTTATGGTAAGTAACAACAACAACAACAGAAATGACCAGAAAGCACTCCAGTATGTTCCAAGTTCTTTGAAAGATACTCTATAAGAATCATTGCATTTACTTGAAAAGTTATTAATCTTATACTAATTTCACAAATGAGAAGACCAGCAGTAGAAAGTTTAGATGATGTTACACAGTGGTAGAACCACTTTGTTTTGAATTCAAGATATCTGAGGCTTGCTGTCTTTTTTTCTGTTCTTCCTTTTATTTTTTTTATTTTATTTATTTATTTTTTTTTTTTTTTGGTACCTGGGACTGAACTCGGGTCCTTATGCTTGTGCAGCAGGCAGCAAAACCACTGAGCTAAATCCCCGGCCCCTTTTAATTTATTAATGTGATAGTCTTTGTGTACCTACTGAAGCCTCCACACTTCTTATCTACATATATCCAACACATAGGTCTCTGTCTCAATTTAGGAAGATTCTCTTTTAGTGTTACCACTACTGCTAACCTCTACTGCTAACTCCCCACATCCTTCAAAATGAAGAAGGCTTATCTCATTTTTTTCATCCTTTCATCTATCCATCTCTCTATTCCTATATCTTTCTTCAACCCATTGCTCCATGAATCCATCAAAAACATTCATCATTCTTTGCTTTCAAATGTATTTCCATCTAAATATGTATGTATGTGTCAATTAATTTTCATTTATCCAGCTATCCATCATTCTACCAATTCATTTATTAATCCCTCCATCATTTGTACATCTGTTAAACTTTCCATCTACCCATCCATCCTTATATTATCCATCTATTTGAAACCATCCATCCATTAAATTGACTCATTTATTAAGTCTTTCATCCATCCATCCATTCACAGACTCTTCCATCATCCAGTCATAAACTCTTCCTTCCATTCACCAACTTTCTAAAGTTATTTCATTGAGTTTCCAAATTCTTCACCAAGCCACCAATCACCTCCCCAAGTCATTTCTAAATGTGTCTTACTACATGATAACTCTTTTTGTGTGGATGTATTGATGTACAAGTGTGAGCTTCTGCCTACACGTTTGCATGTCTAGAAAATCCAAATTGTATACAGAAAATAGAATTAATATTCCCATCCGAGGGACCTCTTATGGCATTCTATCCATATTATGCATTCATGAAATTATTCATTCAGCTTTCTGTACTATAAAAAACTCTCCTCAGTCTCCCCAGGTCATTCTTAGCCTGATTCTACCACTTCCGTCTGGACAGCTTTTGAGGGTCCTGAAGGGAGAGAATCTTATTGTCCCCATTCTGCATGTTTGAGAGGTGCTTTCTTTAGAGTAAAATAATTTTTATACTCTGTCCTTGCATAGCACAGAGTTGACATCAGAAAGGGGAGGGCAGGCAGGAGCCTGACAATGAAATCCTGGCAGGTGTAGCTCTGGCCAATGGAGAGCGATGGAGGATTCTTCGACGTTTTTCCCTGAGTATCCTTCGGGACTTTGGGATGGGAAAGCGGAGCATTGAGGAGCGGATCCAGGAGGAGGCCAGCTACCTAATGAAGGAATTTTGGAAGACCAAGGGTATGAGGGCCACATGGGGGAGGGAGAGTAGGTGAGTGAGTGGTTATAGAGAGCTAAGTCATGAGATGATGTGCCTTCATGGAAGAAAGCTCTGAGAGGAAAAGGATGAAAAATGGTAAGGATTCACTGAGATTTCCAGCAATCTATGTTGAAAATGAATATGGAAGGATCTTACAGACCACTTGATTAGAAATTTTAATCAGTGGAGTCTGTGAACTTGTGAAATTTCACATGGGTTTTGATTGTGTATGAGTTTGTGCCTTCTTCTGGAGACAGGATCAAATTTCATTGTGTTTATATATTCTTATTGTGCTATATAAAATAACATGGAGCTGGGGATTTAGCTCAGTGGTTCCACTGCCTGCCTTGCAAGCGGAAGGACCCAAGTTCAATCCCCAGTACCAAAAAAAACCAAAAACTAAAATAACATGGAATGTACCATCTTCACCATTTTTAAATGAACAGTTAAATAGTGTTAAGTGTATTTATCTTATTGTGGAGCAATTCTTTAAAAATTTTTCATCTTGCAACTCTGAAACTTTGCCCATTTTATTATATGCTTACAGGAGACCAGTTTCCCCCTAAAAGTAAAGTATGGAACTAATGGGGTTTAAAGAGAAAAGACTCAGGATCAAGGAAAAACAGAAACAAATAACAAAAATATAGAAATAAAGATACATTTATCTAAATCAGAGGTTCCTCTTATGGACTCTATGGATGGGCTACATACACCCAGAATTATTTGTAAAATTATATACTTGTCAGTATGTGCATTGTTCTGGAGAAATTGTTCCGAAATCCAGTTTCCTGACCATCATCCCATCTGACAGATGGTATAGCTCAGGCCTAGGGAAGGATTTTCTCAATAGCCTAAATGGAATTATTGGTAGAGCTAGATAGCATCTAGGTATCCTTCTCTTTTTTTTTTTTTTTTTGGAAATATGTTCCTTACTATCATATTTTCTCTCAAATCTGTGACTCTATCACAAACACATTTAAGTAATAATAATAGAAATAATGATTAACTTCTACCAGTATTTCTTGAGTGTTTATTACATGTTAGGCACTGTGCTAAGAAATTTACATGGATAATATTGAATTTTCATGAACTAATAAGTTGGGACTTTTTGTGTGTGTGTGTGGTACCAGGGATCGAATTCATGACTTTGCAATTGCTAGGCAGCCACAGCACCACTGAGCTAAATCCCCGACCCTGGGATTTCTTAACCATTTTGCAGATTGGGAAATCTAGACTTAAACACAAAAATGAAGTAACTTACATAGGCTATTACACAGTAGATCTAGGAGTCAAACTCACTACTGAGGGATTCCGCAACCTGTATTGCTAACTATGGCCTTCAGTTTAGACAATTTCCATCACACAGGTGCCCCAATTGAACCTACCTTCTTCCTGAGCCGCACTGTCTCCAACGTCATTAGTTCTGTTGTCTTTGGAAGCCGCTTCGACTATGAGGACAAGCAGTTCCTGAATCTGCTGCAGTTGATCAATGAGAGTTTCATTGAGATGAGCATCCCCTGGGCACAGGTGACCACTGGTGTCTTCTCTACCCATACCTTGATCTCCATCAACTAAGCACTTGCCTATAAATCCCTTGATCTTCTCAACAGCCCTGGGAGACAACTATCAATGTGTCTGAGATTCCAAGAATCAAAGGTCCATATCCAGTTCTGGGAACCAACACTGGATTTAGAGCCCAGGTCTCTGATTCCAGACAGCTCACTTTGTTCCTGGTGCCAGTAACTGATAAATTTCCTTTACCTATTCCCCACAGCTATATGACATGTACTCGGGAATCATGCAATATTTCCCAGGAAGGCACAATCGCATCTATTATTTGATTGAGAAGCTAAAGGACTTCATTGCATCCAGGGTCAAGATTAATGAAGAATCTCTTGATCCCCAAAACCCTCGGGACTTCATTGACTGCTTCCTCATCAAGATGCACCAGGTACCTGATCCCCTACTGCCAATCCTTTTCTCTCAACTCTTCAATCCCTAGTGTCTGCAGATTTCAATCTATTTACAAATGTTTGGGGTAAAAGAGCAAATATTATTTCACATGGCTTACTTTTATCTATAGATGAGATATAGAAGGTATAATGCTATAAACTCTTACACACAAAATAAACTTTTGAAAATCAGTGAGATCAAACATTTATTTTTATTAACATATATCAATTTTACATATTCATGGGTGATAATTAATATTGTGTTTTTATTCATGCATACAGTATGCCCAGGACAAGTCCAATGTTGGTCTTTCTACTCAACTTTCCCATTCTCTAGTAATCACTCCTCTACTTTCAGGCAGACTTTTTAGCTTCTCCATATAAAAGTGCATTGCAGTATTTGTCCTTCTGTGTCTGGTTTATTTCATTTAGCATGAAATATCCATCCATTTTGCTCCAAGTGACAGGACTTCCTTCTTTACCATGGCTCAATAATACTCCATTGTGTGTGTGTGTGTGTGTGTGTGTGTGTGTGTGTGTGTATGTATCTCACATTTTCTTTCACATAGACTTTGAATCTAGAAATTTTAGCAACATAAAAACTTAAAATGTTACAGCTTCCTAATTATTTATGCCAGAGACTTACATTTCCAGAAAGGTACAACAAGTCCTTTAAGAAATTTAACTTAGTCTTTATTTTTTCCCATTAAGTTTATTGGTACATTTTAGGTATACAGTACAGTTACATTCATCATTAGGATCTTGTACCTTTACATGAGTATCTTGGTTCTTATTTTTTGCCCCTTCCCTTGCCCTCCCTTCACCCCCTCCACCATTCCCTATTTGCAAAGACCTTGTTTCCCTTTTTTTTCCTCTTTTCATATTTTTTTCTTTCCCTTTTTTCACTTTCCCTACCCCTGCCAATTCCCCTGGTCTTTTAGACCTTTTCTTCCTGTTACACAATATCAGTTGTACATTTTTTTTAATTACCATGTTAAGATCTAGGAGACATTACCACAGATTTTACAGAATTTAAAAGGATATAAAAAGCATATTACAAAAATCATTTTTGAAATAAATTTGACAACTTCTAAGAAGTACCTTGGAAGACAAATTAATGAAACTAACTCTGGAGGAAATAT